AGCCATAACTTCGTAATGGCAGAACTTTTCGCGAGGCAACTTGGCTTATTTTAAAGCTCTTTGAGTGAGCTTCGATATAGCACATTCTCAGCTTAATCCGATCGACGGTCTGCACGGCACGCTGCGCGACGTTCAAGGTACTCTTGCTGTTTTGACTAAGTCCTTCTTGATCCCTCTCTCTACAAACTCGGACCCGAGGATAGGGGCTGGTCTTGTACCAGGCACCCAGGGACCCTTGGAGGTGACCACGAGGAGAGGTTTTAAGTTTGATGAAGTCCTAATAGCTTGAGTTTATTAGACCCTTACACCAACAATTGATAGAGGCCCGTAAAATACCAACAGCGAGCCGGCCAGCAGTGGGCGCAGCAGCAGCAGCAGCGTGCGGACGCCCAGTAGCAGCAGCAGCGGGCGGACGCCCAGCAGCTGCAGGAGCGGTAGCAGCAGCAGTAGCGGCAACACCAGGCGCACCAGCGGCTGGAGCAGACCCGACAGTAGGTATAGCACTTCCAGTAGGTATAGCACCTCCAGTAGCATTCGGGCCACCTACACGTGCTCTCTTCTGTCCCGCACGGCTCCCCCCATCTCCGCATTACCCGGCAGCCGATTCGGGTCAGGATGCTCACCTGGAGACTGTTGACTTGCTGCTTGTTGCTGTGATTGTGCCTCCTGCAATAATTGCTCCTCCAGAGCCCCTCCTCGCAGTGCCGTCTTCGTGGGCAGCAGCGTCAGCACCTAGGGAGAGCTGCCTCAACTAAAAGCCCTCTCCAAATGAAGGGATTCCGAGGGCAGCGAGGGATGCTCCAGGGATGGCCCTGCTGCTGGCCGGTTCACCGTCTTTGTCCGACATTTTCCTAGGCGATAAAACACGCCCAAACCCTGGCGCCAGCACCTTTGCTCGCGGCCGCCCCGACACCCTGTACGCAGCCCCTAAGAACCTATACGAAATTGTGCAATGGTAGTTGCTAAGCACCCCTGAGCTATTGCTGGCCTAAGATGATGCGTTTTGCTTGTGAATTGAGGTCATACTAGTAAAGCGCGTATCCGTAAAAAAACGTCATTTCAGTCACGCGATTTACTGCCAATGGCGTGTCACGATTATAAACTACCTAGAAATATCTGGAAATGAGGTTAGAACGGGAGAAAACTTAGTAGGTTTTAGGCTTAGGCGACTAGCTTCCCTGCTGCCGTAAGGCAAGATTGAGATCGAGCGTGAGTAGGTTTTGCTGTCGAGGGGATAAAAAACCCCTCGACAACATTTTGACCTAGGGTTTGTCCCCTGCGTGTCGAAATCGGGTCAGGCCATAATCCCGACCCGATTTCACTGGTCCTGACCCGAATCCGGGTCGGGTCAAGCTTGACCCGAAACCCGACCCGCCCCGGCCCGAGCTTGGAACTCGGGCCGGGTTTTTGCCCGAGTCGGGTCGGGACAACACGTAAGGAGCACGCAAATGAAAACGCTGCCCTGACCCGTGCTAAACCACGGGTTGGGTCGGGCTGGCCCGACCCGCGCGGGGCGGCACCTGCTCAACTCTAGTGTCATCGCATATAACGATACGTCACCCGTGATCGTGGATATTGTGGACTCCAAGACATCCAAGAAGACGGGCGAGTATCTCGCCGGGCTCATCAGCCGCTCGATTGCCACGGTGGAAGTTTGTCCAGGTGGTCATGGACAATGCTTCAAACAACAAGCGGGCGTCCGACCTCCTTCATGAGGACTATGCTTCGGTGTGTTGGTGTAAGGGCCTAATAAACTCAAGCTATTAGGACTTAATCAAACTTAAAACCTCTCCTCGGGGTCACCTCCAAGGGTCCCTGGGTGCCTGGTACAAGACCAGCCCCTATCCTCGGGTCCGAGTTTGTAGAGAGAGGGATCAAGAAGGACTTAGTCAAAACAGCAAGAGTACCTTGAACGTCGCGCAGCGTGCCGTGCAGACCGTCGGTCGGATTAAGCTGAGAATTCGCTATATCGAAGCTCGCTCCAAGAGCTTTAAAATGAGCCAAGTTGCCTCGCGTTGGAGTGCTAGCATACTAGCGTTGACTCGGGTAGCATTCCGCCATCGAATAGCGCAGAAACGAAATTCCAGCGAGGAAGGAATTCGCTTGAATCAATTTGACTATATTCAGGTACAAACAGAGAAGGATTAAATAGTTCTAGCTAGCAAGGACCTTGGGAATCAACCTGGGAACAACCAGGGATGATCCCAAATAATTCCAAGCAACAGAACCAACCTGGCTGGACAAAATAGCAGGTGGTAGGTTGGTAAACAACCTCTGGTTCTGTTTTTCCAACCTGGGAAAACAACAACCAGGTTCAGGTTCTAAAAACAGAACCTGTTTTGTCTTTGCCCAACCAGCCAAATGCTGGTTCCGCTGGTTTCCCCTGGCCTTGTAGCATGCAGATACAGACAAACAACATCCAACCTTCACCTAAATTGTACCCCTATAGTGCCTTCCCTGCTACACTATAGTTAACCAAACAAAACAGTACAATTTCGAGTTGGATAGAACTGAATCTGCGCAATCAACTCAACCGAACTGCAAAGCTTCCATCTTGGGTTCCTTTGCGAGCTCGTCCTTTCTGCTTGCACTGTTCATAGCGCGTACAATGTTGTGCCAAAGCGCACATTGCGCGAGTACCTGCAAATGCATCAAGCGAAAAATGCGAAAGCAAACAAACACACGAACACACCATTCACACGCAAATGCATTCGCACACGCATACTCGTACAAACAGACGGCAGGATGTCGTGCAATGTGCATTTGCACCCAACACGGTATTCTTCACCAACTGTGCTGCGCACACGCTGGAGTTGATGCTTCACGACATGGGGAAAATTCGAGCCGTGAAGCAGGTTCTTGGCCAGGTCCATCGAGTAGTGATGATGGTCAAGGGCAGCGCAACTGCCGTCACTCTGATCGAAGAGTTGTTTAGTAAGCTTTCATTGTTACGGCCTGGTGCGACGCGCTTTGGCACGCAAGCTGTTCCGCTTCCTAGAGAGGTTAAGAAAGCATTGCGATCGATGGTGATTAGTGAGGAATGGGAGGAGATTGCGGTGGTACGGCAGGAGGAGAGGAAGGCGGTCCACAAGCTTCTGTTGGGTGACGTGTCTAGAATTGCGGCACGGCGGTGCTCCGCCTCATGACGCGGTGTACGAGGTCTTATGAATCGTGTACACTCGGGCTATAGTCATGGGCCAGGTATATGGCCTCATGCTAGATACCACACTCAACATTAACGAGGCCGCTGAGGCTGCAAGTGAGCGTCACATTTCACTCTAAACATTGCTGGTATTTCCCCTTACCGCCATATCTACGAGTGTGTCTTCCTCCCCCCCCATTTCCCGGAATTGTAGTACTTACTTATCGTTTCTTATACGGTTTCCGTCATGGGCACCCACAATGTTGGTGAAACGCACGTCTCTGCTTGTGGCGAAGGACAGGCCGGCATTTATGGACTCCATCAATGCAATGATTGCCAAACGGTGGGACGGCTGGCTCCATAACTTACTAGATGCCCTGGGCTGGCTGCTCACTCCCCGAAATCAGTATGCGGGGGAGGTGAGGAATGATGCCGAGATAAGACGTGGTGCGAACGAGGTGTTCCGAGCACGGGCCGTAGATGTCGCGCAGCGCACACTTCTAAGTGTGCAGCTGGCCCAATTTCACGAAAGAGAGGGCCGTTTGGGATCGGATGATGCACGTTGGGTAGCAACGCATTTTGTGGAGTGTGGGCGCTTGTAGGATGCCGTGTGGTGGTGGATGTACGAGGGGGAGGTGCAGGCACTCCAAGAGCTGGCTGTGATGGTGCTATCACAGCTTGTCACCTCGTCCGAGGTTGAGAGGTACTGGTGTTGGGTGCAAATTTACATTGCACGACATCCTGCCGTCTGTTTGTATGAGTATGCGTATGCAAATGCATTTGCGTATGAATGGTGTGTTCGTGTGTTTGTTTGTTTTCATAATTTTTGCTTGAAGCATTTGCAGGTACTCGCGCAATGTGCGCTTCGGCACAACATTATACGCGCTATGAACAGTGCAAGCAGAAAAGACGAGCTCGCAAAGGAACCCAAGATGGAAGCTTTGCGGTTCGGTTTAATTGATGCGCCGATTCAATTCTCTCTAACTCGAAAATGTACTGTTTTGTTTGGTTGACTATAGTGTAGCAAGGCAGGCACTATAGGGGTACAGTTTAGGTGAAGGTTGGATGATGTTTGTCTGTATCTGCATGCTACAGGGCCAGGGGAAACCAGCGGAACCAGCATTTGTCTGGTTGGGCAAAGACAAAAAAGGTTCTGTTTTTAGAACCTGAACCTGGTTGTTGTTTTCCCATGTTGGAAAAACAGAACCAGAGGTTGTTTACCAACCTACCATCTGCTATTTTGTCCAGCCAGGTTGGTTCTGTTGCTTGGAATTATTTGGGATCATCCCTGGTTGTTCCCAGGTTGATTCCCAAGGTCTTTGCTAGCTAGAACTATTTATTCCTTCTCGATTTATACCTGGATATAGTTAATTGATTCAAGCAAATTTCTTAATTGCTGGAAATTGGTTTCTACGCGGTTTGACGGCGAAATGCTTCCCAAGTCAACGCTAGTACGCTAGCACTTCAACGCTAGGCAAACGCTTTCCGAGCCATAACTTCGTAATGGCAGAATTTTTCGCGAGGCAACTTGGCTCATTTTAAAGCTTTAAAGCGAGCTTCGATATGCGATTTTACAGCTTAATCTGATCAACGGTCTGCACGGCACGCTGCGCGACATTCAAGGTACTCTCGTTATTTTGGCTAAGTCATTCTTGATTCCTCTCTCTACTTACTCGGACCCGAGTATAGGGGCTGGTCTTGTACCAGGCACCCAGGGACCCTTTGAGGTGACCCCGAGGAGAGGTTTAAAGTTTGATTAAGTATTAATAGCCTGGGTTTATGAGGCCCTTAAACCAACAACTGGTCCGCCATCGCACGGGTGCAGAGGCGTAATCGGAACCGCCTCACCGCCCAGAAGATGATGGATGTGACGGCCGTGGCATTCTTTAGGAGGGCCAGGGCTGCATTCGAAGCAAAAGCTGGGGTGAGGGCAAAGCTGTATAAGGACCTGAGCAATGGCACCCTCAAAGAAGGGTGCGTCATCGCTCCAGCAGCCCCACAAGCGAAGGAGGTGGGGAAAGAGGAGGAGGGAGATGAGATCGAAAAGTGCACCATTGACTGGGAGCAATTTGGGAACATCGGCAAGACGAAGAAGAAGACAGGTGAGTTCTCCAAGAGGAAGAGAAAGGGGAAGGGGAAGGCAACTGTGCCATGCAAGGGAAAGGGCAAAGCACGTGCTGCTGTGGATGCAATGGAGGAGGAGGAGGCGGCGGACAGCAGTGGAGGAGAGGGGGAGGACGTGATTCATAAGGAGAAGACTCGTAAGGGCGTTGATCCGTGGAACTGCAGTGATGGTTTGAGTGGGGAGGAAGAGGAGGATGACAAGGACCAAGAGGAGGAGGATGAGTAGAGGATGAGGAAGCTGTGTGTAGGAGAGGAGAGAGGGGCATAGGAGTAGTGAATGGTCGGAGGGAGTATGTTCTCTAGTAGCGTAGAAATCTAATAAATTAACGCCTCTGTTTCGTTGATTAGACTTGTGTGCACCTTGTTGGACCAACTGGGAAACATACCGGGGACTGTTTGAAATTAAAAGAAAGAAAGAAAAAAATGCACACCAAAATGTCTATGAAAAATATTGCGTATTTTTTATAATTTTGCCGTTAAAAAATGACTGTATTATACGCACCGTATAACATGATTAACGTTTCTTGGAACCTTGTGAGCACAAGCATGGTGATGAGCACGGGCATGGTGATGAGCACGTGCATGGTGATGCGCACGGGCATGGTAATGAGCACGGGCATGGTAATGAACACGGGCATGGTGATGAGCACGAGCATGATGATGAGCACGGGCATGGGGATGAGCATGGGCATGGTGATGCGCACGGGCGTGGTGATGAGCACGGGCATGGCGATGAGCACGGGCATGGTGATGCGCACGGGCATGGTGATGAGCACGGGCATGGTGATCAGTACGGGCATGGTGATCAGCGCGGGCATGGTCATCAGCACGGGCATGGTGATGAGCACAGGCCTGGTGATGCGCATGGGCATGGTGATGAGCACGGGCATGGTGATGAACACGGGCATGGTGATGAGCACGGGCATGGGGATGAGCACGGGTTTGGTAATAAGCACGGGAATGGTGATGCGCTCCCTGTGCACGAGGAAGCACATGATGACCATTCTGGCAGTCCTGCTCCCCTCACTATCCATGCCCATGCCAATTCCCACGCCCATTCACATGTCAACGCCCCTGACCATGCCCATCCTGGTTCCGACTCTCATCCCAATGTGGAAGAAAGCGCACATGGCAATGGCATGGCAGCAGGGCCATCCATGAGCCATCCTCTGCAGCCCCACTCCCATGGACCCACACCGCCTTGCGCCTCCTTCGCTGTTTGTGGAAGCAGCTGCAGCGCTTCAAGCCATAGCGGCACCTCGCATGGTGCATGCGCTGCCAGCAGCGCTGCCCTGCATGCTCACCCCGCTGAGGCGCACAGGCATGACACGCCGGTAAGTACATGCGGTTACCATGTGCACGAGCATGAGCGGTTGGTGAGGGTTCGTGCTGCTACGGGGCTGCTGAGGCGGCGCGTGGGCAAGCAGTGAGTGGAGGTGTTTGACTATGTGTGGCCAGTCAGGCATGCATACACCCCCACCCACTCACCCACGTGTGCCCGCCGTTGTAACAGCGCGGTAGCGGGATGTTGTGAAGCCACCTGCGCCTACACTCGGTTGCCGTTCTGTGATGAATATGATTATATGGAGGGCAAGGAAGGAGCAGAACAGCAGAAGGGATTGAAGCGACGTGATGGTGGAGCGGAGAAGCAGGCAGGTCCGTGTGGGGGAGGTGCATCTGCTGCAGCTGCTTGACGCTGACATGGCACACGTGGTGAAGAGTGAGAGGGTGCAGGCAAATGCAACTTCTCTGATTGGATGCCATGCGCCGATGCCAGTGATGGCACGTGAAGAGCCCTCTCGTGGCAGTGAAACGTGCACAACCAGTATGCTTCATGGGAAAGACGATCATGGGGGCGACAGCTGCAGCAACGACCCTCATCATCACAGTAGGCACACTCACTCTCACGCTCACGCTCGCACCAGCAGCCATGCTGCTAATGCTGCTGGCAGCGCTGATGGCATTGAAATCAGCAAAGCAGCAGCAGGAGGTGCGATGGGGTGTGGCAGGCTGTGCTGCTGCACTTATACGGAGGGCACTGGGAGTGCAGGCGAGATGGTGGTGCTGGTGGGTGGGGGAATTGGGAGGGGGACGGAGAGGAGCCAGAGGTAGTAGGCAAGTGGATGGTTGGAAAGCCGTCTCGATTATTCTGGTGGTCAACCACCGCGTGCAAGCGAGCAGTCACTGCTCTGGCCAGCACAACTAGCAAGGCCTTCCAAGGCGCCTTGACGCACACCAATATCGCCGCCCCTGCTGCTACCACCCCTGCGGCTGCCACCCCTGGCGGGGCAGTGGTGACGTCATGGGTGGACGTGTTGGGGCTGTGCTGTGTGGCAGAGGTGGCGGTGGTGCAGCAAATGGTGGAGGCGCTGCCCGGCGTGCTGCATGTGGCCGTCTCCGTGCCCACCCGGACTGCCCTCGTGAGCCACCACGCCTCCATCACCCCCGTTGCTGACATCGGTAAGTGGGTGATGCCGGCACAGGCAAGGGTGTGGTAAGTGCCGAGGGTGAGTGGAAATCGTTTTGGTCATGACCAGCGGGCGAGGTAACCATACATCCCCCACCCCTCCTCTCCTCTCCTTCCCATTTTGTTCAGCAGCTTTGCTGCGCTGAGGAGGTTCATACTTGATATAAACACACTTATGGTCATTGCAGGTGACCTTTATTCACAACAAACAACCATCCGTGCTTGCATTCCTGGCTTGGAGGTTGACAGGGGTCGATGGAGGCACGCGACAGTTGAGAGGCGCTTCTGTGTCGAGTGGTGCATCCGTGCCTAATGAGAGTTTGTGCCCAGCGGGTGAGTTTGCTCTATGAGTGTCTGTGCGTAGCCAGTGTCCGACCTAGAAGTGAATCCATCCCCCCCTGCATATCGCACGGCCTTGCCTAGCGTCCCTCCCTGCCTGAAGCTCGTCCGTATGTAGAAGTGTGTTTGTGTTAGAGTCCTTTGTGCGGGTACACACACATGTCATTCGCCCATGATCATGCTGATTTATCTCCCCTCCTTCCCCGATCAACCTCTCGTGGGCTGCCAGTGGGGGGCGCCAAAGCAATTGGAGAGTATGTGGAGGGCGCCTCTGTCATCTTCCTCTTCTCCCTTGCCCACTTCCTTGAAGCGCGCTCCACTGATAAGGTGGGTATGGCTACCATTTAGGCGGATAGGTGGGGGGTTACCAGATACGTGGGGGCAGCGCCTCTCTTTCTCTCTCATTGCATTCCTCTCGCTTTCAACCGGTTTGCTCCCAACCATTTTCTATCCACACTTTTGTTTGCCCTCACGGTTGTGTTGTCCCCTTGCCCATGTGTGCCCACTTGCTCCATGCTGCCCCCTCACATGTTGACTGCTTGTCAGCAACCCCTTTTTTCGCCTCCGCATGGTCTCCCCTGCCCGTCCCCCCTATTGCCACCCCCTCAGGCGCGGGTGGCCATCCAGGCGCTCATCGACCGCACTCCACAGACGGCTTAGCTCGCCGCTGCGGGCGAGCAGGTAAGGAGGGGAAAGGGGGAGTGGCGGGGGGAGAGAGGGGAGACGCAAGGTGGACGAGGGTGTTGGGTGCAAATGCACATTGCACGACATCCTGCCGTTTGTTTGTACGAGTATGCGTGTGCAAATGCATTTGCGTGTGAATGGTGTGTTCGTGTGTTTGTTTGCTTTCACAATTTTCGCTTGAAGCATTTGCAGGTACTCGCGCAATGCGCGCTTCGGCACAACATTGTACGCGCTATGAACAGTGCAAGCAGAAAGGACGAGCTCGCAAAGGAACCCAGGATGGAAGCTTTGCGGTTCGGTTGAATTGATTGCGCAGATTCAGTTCTATCCTACTCGAAATTGTACTGTTTTGCTTGGTTGACTATAGTGTAGCAGGGCAGGCACTATAGGGGTACAATTTGGGTGAAGGTTGGATGTTCTTTGTCTGTATCTGCATGCTACAAGGCCAGGGGAAACCAGCGGAACCAGCATTTGGCTGGTTGGGCAAAGACAAAACAGGTTCTGTTTTTAGAACCTGAACCTGGTTGTTGTTTTCCCAGGCTGGAAAAACAGAACCAGAGGTTGTTTACCAACCTACCACCTGCTATTTTGTCCAGCCAGGTTGGTTCTGTTGCTTGGAAATATTTGGGATCATCTCTGGTTGTTCCCAGGTTGATTCCCAAGGTCTTTGCTAGCTAGAACTATTTAATCCTTCTCTGTTTGTACCTGAATATAGTCAATTGATTCAAGCGAATTCCTTCCTCGCTGGAATTTCGTTTCTGCGCTATTCGACGGCGGAATGCTACCCGAGTCAACGCTAGTATGCTAGCACTCCAACGCTAGGCAAACGCTCTCCGAGCCATAACTTAGTAATGGCAGAACTTTTTGCGAGGCAACTTGGCTCATTTTAAAGCTCTTGGAGCGAGCTTCGATATAGCGAATTCTCAGCTTAATCCGATCGACGGTCTGCACGGCACGCTGCGCGACGTTCAAGGTACTCTTGCTGTTTTGACTAAGTCCTTCTTGATCCCTCTCTCTACAAACTCGGACCCGAGGATAGGGGCTGGTCTTGTACCAGGCACCCAGGGACCCTTGGAGGTGACCCCGAGGAGAGGTTTTAAGTTTGATTAAGTCCTAATAGCTTGAGTTTATTAGGCCCTTACACCAACAAGCTGGTATCAGAGCTGCGTTATAGTGATCCTCGTTATAGGTAGCTATGGCGGGCAACACCTCGGCGGGAGCTGGTGAATCTTCAGCCCAAGATCGTAGCGGCAGCCAAGATTCTGGTGTTTCAGCGCCAAGGGGAGCGCGAACAAGCCAGGGCTCGCTGATCAAGGAGGTGCTGAAAAACTTCACCGTCGAGAAGTTCAATGGTGAGGGCTATGATGATTGGGCCTGGAAAATGCAATTATATTTCCGTCAGATCGGTTTGCTGAAACTAATGATTGGGGAGGAGCCTAGACCGAGTGACCCCACGCTGCAGGAAGATTGGGACGAGCGCTCCTCGGCTGGCTACTATCTGATGTCGCAGAGTTTGGAGCTGAACCAGCGTCACCACGTCATGCACCTGCTGCCGGAGGTTGAATGCGGTCCGAAGGCGTGGACCGTGTTGAAGGAGCTGCACGCCCCGACCTCCGTTGTCGCAACGTTGATGCTGGAGAGGGAGCTGTCTGCGTTGCGCCTGAGCGAGGGAGAGCCGGTGCAACCTGTCCTGGACAAGATGCGCGACCTGTACGCGAAGTTGGCGACCGCGGGAATCACCTACCCGGAGCAGACCAAGTGCTTGAAGATGCTCTCGCTGCTGCCGGAATCGTGGCTTCAATTCACGAGCGGATTGAGCCTGCCGCAGAACCAGAGCTCGTGGACGCTCGAGTGGGTGCGGACAAAGATTCTGGAGGAGGACTTTCGTCGCCGCCAACTGAGGGGTGGAGACGACGGCAGCAGCGGCTATGGGATGCAAGGGAGCCGACGTGGCAGAGGACGTGGTATAACAGTAGCGGTATAACATGCTCATTGCAGTACATACATTCTCTAGGAACGTTTTGCAGTGGTTATTATTTACACAACAAAAACAGTAGAAAAAAAATATATAAACAGAACAATTTCCTGTTTTTTTTTTAATAAGTAGTTGATCCCTGAAATTCCAGGGTTGTTCATTATTTCCCTATATGTTCAAGCTGATATTAGAAAGGTGTGTTACAGCATTGGCAGAGTGCACTCAGCGAGTCTGCAGGTTCCCCGTGAACAGTGCGCTCGTGTTGCGCGGGTTCCTTCAACGTCAATCTAGGACTTGGGAACAGTGCACTGCAACATCAGTAGCCAGCTGGTTCCCCGTGCAAAGTGCGCCCATGTTGCAAGGGGGGGCGGTCATGGGCCAGGAATTTGTGCAAGAGAAGCAGGTACCGCTCGAACTTGGTTGTAAGACTGGGGAAGGGTTGGGGAGGTGGGAAGGGAGGAACGGGGTGAGCAGTGCAGCCACACCGTAGTGGCAGGATTGGCGGGCCAGAAGTTGGCGTAGGAGAAGCAGGTGCGGTGCGGACATCCCCAAAATGTTTCTGACCCTAGCGTGACCCACCTACCAGCCTGACCCAAGCCTTGCCTGTAAATGCCCCCAGAGTGCCTTCCGGGTCAAATAAGGGTTAGTGGTCAGATAAGGGTCAGTTTTGGGTCAGCGAGTATTTGCCCCCAAATCGAACCCAACCTCTATCTGACCCTAAACTGCCCCAAACCTGCCTTGCACTTGTACCTTGACCGCCCGGGTTCGATTCTCGCCGGGTAAAGGGAATTAAAAACCCGGTAAGAAGTGGCCCCATTATAGCCACTGTCCCACTGCATCTGCTCCGACGCTACATTTTGTAACAATCCATGAACACTACATATATAACCATCAAATTATCTAGGACACAGTCCACCGCCAAAATTCCATAACCACGACGCGTGGCCAATAGGGACGCCACCCGGAATCCGAAGCTAATTGACGGCAATCGAACGATCGGATACAACAAATGCCCGGCAGGGATAGATGCACACAGGTATTAAATAAAAACTACTACCAATGCTTATGGTCATGTCCTGACCCCACACAGTCCCCGCCGATACCCAACCAGCAGCCACAAGAATACAGCACCAGGGTTTCACTCATCAAACAGAAACCGGTTCACCAAAGAGAACCGGGGCTCAGTGAAACACGGGACAATGTGGGCAAGGGACAGAATGTTGTCCACCTCGACAACGGCGTACTCATCCTCTCCCACAGTCGGCAGTAGCCTCGCGCATCCCGTCACGGGGCATGGAGTGGGATGCTCGTCGAAATACTGCACCACGGCGCGCCTGTGAATCTGGGCCTCGCCGTCAATGAAATGGAATAGCATGATGCACCGAGCATACCACTCGCCCTCCCCCCCAGCAATCGACACGTAGCTGAACTTCCCCTCACCCGGCGCTGCCTTCACCATGTGCCCTGGCCCGCGGCCCAAGAGGCGGTCATGGGGGGGTATCGCCATTGCTGTGTGAACCTGCACAAACCGACAGAAACCCCATCAGGCATCATGTGACGCCCCCCCCACAAACCCAAACATCACGCAACTATAGACCGGCAGGTACACCCGAAATCCCAATCCCGAACCGGCCCCCTTGCACCCACTCATCGACGAGACATCACCTGCACGCCTGACGCATCGATCCCCACACGCTGCATCACCCGTGCGATACCGTCCATCACCGCGCTGCCCAGCACGGCGCCATATTCCGCCCAGACGGGGTCCTGCGCATCCCCCACCGCCATGCGCCGTGAACGTCGGGTAAGCACCCTGGTGTTGTGCTTCACCGCCTGTGCCCACGCACCGTACGATGGGAATGGAAAAGAGCATAAAAGAGAACCCTCCATCACCGTGAGACCCGACAGCCAATACGGGACACCATGCTGTAAGTAATGTCACATGGCTCGGGAGCGCTACACTCATGCATGACCCGTCATGGCTCACCGTGTGCATGGCCGTCTCGTACGTCCTACCGCCCTCGGCCCGACCCAGGCCCCTGATTGCCTCGTTGCGTGCGTGGCGAACCACAATGTCTCTGCCCACGTCCCGCCAGTTCGAGTTCCGTGCAGGCCATTTGCAGAATCGCTTATGCAAGGCCTCGTATGTGTTGGTCGATTGCTCGGACGGGATGCCATGCATCCTAATCGCATGCGGGAGGTGCCGGAGAAGATGCACCTTCGGCAGTCGCCACTGCGACGACTGCTTGGGGAAGACGAGCTTCAGCTCCGCGACCAGCCTGCGCAGCCAAGTACATCAACTCGTGAGAGGTATGGCTATGCGGGGCAGTGGAATGAGGGGCATGTGCATTAGCTGGGAGGAGCAGAGTTTGCTCTGGGTCGAGGTACTGCTCATCAGATAAGGCATGGGCATGATATGCATGCAGGGGCAGGGGCATGCGAGTAACCATGGAGAGAGTCCCTTGCACGAGAGTCCAACGCGGGGGAGGATAGGGCAGTAGAGGCACGGCGGTCTGATGCAGTGGTACGAGACCCTGTTGCACCCTATTGGCATAGGGATGAGTGGCCAGATGCAGGGTTGGGGCATGGGAGATTAGGGATGGATAGGCGGGGTCAGGCCATGGGAGTGTCACGTAACAGGTAGTGGCATAAGAGTCAAGTGCAAAAGAGTGCGAGGCATCAGACCGCCAGGGGCGGGACAGAAAGTGGGTCTTGTGAGGCAGGGGCCAGAGGTGCAGGGGCATGGTGGATGCTGGTGCCAACCAGGGTTGTGAGTGACAAACCGGCTTACACAAGGGTCTTCCTCGTTGCCTCTTGAAGAGACGCCTCCGTGTGATACGCCACGCGGAAATACGCGCGGTACCACTCGTTGAAGAGGATGACCACTCGGGCAATGTCCTCGTGTCCAGGCAGGTGAGCGACCAGCGGGACAATCTGCATCATGGCCCGGTGCTCCCATGCGGCATACTGGGACACCGTCCCAAAGTATGCCGACGGGTCTGGATGACGGAGAAGAGACGGTGGCGTCACGGCCATGACGGCCTCGCACTGGCTGCGGCCACAAGCAATGCAACGGGTCAGTACGGCATGAGCAAACACGTCCACACCAGCTGCGTGCTACAAGGCATGCTTACTGCACCACGCCACACCCCCACGACAACCCGCAGGCAGTACCTTAAAAGAAGGAGCTGCTCGGTGGGAGTTAATTTCGCCACCAGGAATCGCATGGTGTGCAGCCACACCCCCTCGTCCACCACGTGCATGATGCATATTCCGATGTCCTCGTAGAGGTTCCCCCAGGGTGTGTCGACGTGCGCCCATTCCCACAGTGCGTACTGCCAAATAGGACAAAGCTACCGCTGTTATCCCCGCGCGGTATCACCCTCTTAGTATTTTGCATACAACCGTTGAACTGCCTGACCCCCACACCAAGCCGCTCAGAGGGTCACCCACCTGCACAAAGTGGGTGCACCATGCAGACATAATTCTCTTGCGCTTCTTTGGGTTGGTACCCTCGATCCGCACGTACATGTCCTTTTGGCCTTCCACGGTGCGTGGGGAGCTTTCCAGGGTCAGATCCGCAAGGTCCCACTTGCTCACAAGGCACATAGAGCAAGGTTGGTTCGACGTGGCTGCCCATGTGCATGTCACCATGCACGACTCGGTGTGGTCGCACAGGTACTTGCTCAGGAGTGGAAAGACCCGCTGATTCCGCCCCAAATGATCGGTGACCATGATTCCCCCACTGCGCAATACGGGGCCCGGACGTCGGTAGAAGCAAGTGTGAACAACGGGTTATTCCACTTACCCCACCCTGGAACAATATGACGCTTTGCCGAAGGCTCATCCCAGTCCATTCCCCGCAACGTACCTCTCAACTGATGACGCCCGCATGAGAGGCCCTAGTACCAGCCGCAGCATCTCGTGCATGAGCTCCGTCTTCTGCCCAGGTGTCAAGGCTGCGGGTAGCGGGGGGAACAGTGCTACCATCTCCACGCCTCCTTCCAGCCATCGGCTAGCCTCGGGAATGTTGTCCAGCGAGAACATCATCGGGTGAGCCAGCTGCCTCCCATTAAACGTTAGATGAGTCGCATCGCTGAACAGAATCACCGCTGCCAATAGACCGGCGCCCAATAAAGCCTCCTGTAGGGTTTGCGTTCCGCACAGACGGTGGTGTGGTTGTACAAGGCACGCCACGTCCGCCCACCGTTACCAATGCACCGATATGACCCTGCAACAACGATTTGAACGACACTAGCCAGGTTCAAACGTACCCATGCCCTCAAAAACCAGTCGCACTCCACAGCTGCACCGTAACGTCTCTCGTCATCCACCTCCACAATCCGAGGTTCCGTAGTGAACCCTGGTACACGTGACATCTTATGCCACATCCGCTGCAGAATCTGCGGGGTTAAGTGGGTTGCACAATGAGCAGCATACCAAGGAGTGATTTGGGCAAAAAATGGGGAAGGCCACAAAGGGTCAAGCCCCAAAACTCACTCGAACGAGCGGCCGGAACCGAAACGTCACCTCACCCAGATCCCCCCTCAGCTCCAACACGCGGATCTCCCATTCGTCGCCGTGTGACAGGTATTCCGCCTCGAACCGTTCGAGGTCTCGATATGTCTCCCACAGATCCACCTCTGAGGCATCTCCGTTGCCAGCTTTGTACAACTGGATGATGTCCGTTATGGCTGCATTAGGCAGGAAATAGGTCCGCGCAATACGCGCTATTTCTAACCTAATGTCCCGTCTGACTCCCGCCTCCGCCACGTCCCCCGACTCCCCCGATGCCACCGACTGCGCTGACTCTGCTGATGACGACGCGGCGCCGTCATCGCCATTGGCGTCCTCCACGTCGCGCTTGCGAGCCGTGCGTGGCTCGAATGGCACGTCACTGCGCCGACCATTAGCGTGCACGATCGTTATGATCGGCGGCCGATAGAACCGGCCGTACGGAATGCCTAAGGCAGCTAGGCGGTCCTGTTCGTACAGGCATCTTTTGTTCCTCCTCTGATGTCTACGTAACCCACCGTAACTTTTAAGTAACTTCTCGCAGAAGCAGCATGTCGCATACGGCATAGTAACCCAGTCATGCTCGGAATATGACTCCCATGGCGGTCCCGTGCAAGTATGGTCAGCCGGTGTTTACAACCACGTCGCCCACGCAAGTGCATATCACGGTCGCTCCTACATCAACTCGCGTAATGAACCAGACGTTGGGAGCTAGGGTTTCACCGAGTGCCTGTCCTCTTTTTCTCGATATACACCCTGCCTGGATCAGAACTTGATAATGTATTGTGGCGCGTAACATATAATATAAGACGAACATGGATGCCTACCAACATGGAAAAACAAAAGTCACACTCTGTCCTAAGGCGACCCCTTAAGCATAAGAGGCCAAAACACGACATCAACCAAAGCTTATCATACACCACATCGAGGTCTAACCCGCAACCTATACATGGTACCCGTGGACAGCATCAAGGACACACGTGCTTGTATAAGTCACCCACCGTGGGCCGAACTATGGTTGACATAAATATATTATCAACTTGAGCGGCCGGTAAGGATACTTTCTACGGCGCATCTAGGTCCGTGCGTGGGCGCTTGACACTATGCGCTGGCATAAGTCGCTCGACAACATCGATAAACTTGATGGCGGTGTCGAAAGTCGGCAACCTGGTCACAGCTGCACATTTAAGAGAGGGGGGATCGTAAATCAGGGGCCCAACTGAAATGTGACTTCATCAATTGAAAAGAGGAGGTAGACTACCGCACGCTATGGGCATCTCACCTGCTGCCCGTGCATGCACGCGAGGCATGGCTGGCATCGGCAAGGGCACAGTGGTACCCTCCCTCTCATAGTGGGTTCCTGCGGACAAGCGCTGAGCGGTGAGATATAACCCGAATACCCATGTGAGTAATGTGCGTCACCTGGGCTGTACCTTACCTGTGCCACGGCGGATACCAGAAGGTATGGGCATCAGCCGCTCCACGATATCGATAAACGTGATGGCCGTATCGAAGTTTGGCGGTCTGGCGGCAGCTGCACAAGTAGAGGGGTGGGAAGCGCAATTGGGTGATTATTATAATAAGCCTCCACACCGTGTGCTCGACGAATGCCACACATGTGAAACGGTCTCACCTCGCGATCCACAAAGCACCGTTGGCAATGCAGCTGCCTGCAGCGCCACGCCAGCCGCCTGCTGTGTACCTCCAGTGCCTGTGATTATGTCCACGGGGGTGCAGTCACTTGTGATGAAGAGTGCAGTGCCTTAAACGGGAAGGCATGACCACTGATGAACGAGCAATGCGGCTGCATTGAGTTGTTGCACACGGTCCATACCTGTCACTGCACTGGCACGCGCGGCACCGTCATGGCCCATCGACGTTGTCCGCTGATATACTCCCGTCTCGGCCTGCGCGGTCTCCTCATCTTTGCACTTGGTTGCGTGGCGGTCTGTGTTGTTGGTGTGGCCAAGACCAGCCAGTGATGCCGCCCCCCCTTTCTGCTCCGCGTGTTCGGCCTGTTTGTGCGTCAGCATCCCTCCGTTGACTCCACGCGTGGCCCTGGTCTCCGTGTCCTGCACAAACGCTGTACGGCCATGCTTGCTAGTTGGGGCTGTGGGTCCCGGCAATGAGGCAGCATTGGGTGAAGTTGGCTCATATGGCAAGCGACGACCTACGTCGGCTGAGTTGGCGAGGCCCACATCGGTAGGGCGCAACGCCACCACCTTACCCTCCGCTTTGTCCCTCTGCACCTGCTGTGGCGCCCTTTCGACATCCCGAGCAACGCGGTCGACTATCGTTCCTCCAGCATTTTGCTTCTCGCCCTCCACACGCGCACTATCCCGCCCCGCTGCACCACCCGCAAGGCGGGTTGTGGGACTGCTCGGATGAGGAACGTTCTCGCGAGGAGCTAGAAGTCCTCCCCGGAACTCCGACGCTGTCTTGCCAACAACAGCTCGACAGGATCTCAGGTCCTCCTCCGTCGCCGGAGTTTCTGTCCCGAGGTCTGGTGAACCGCTGTATGGCTGCGTCTCTACGTCCATCAGCGCGTCCACCGGCTCCCCTAGCTCCACGGCCTCCTCGTGGCCCTGTCCGTGCCCGGCTGGGTGGTTGGCTCTTACGGAGTGAGATTCTCCACCGTAGCGTGGATCGGTACCATCCCAGTTGTAATTTCGAGCCTGTGGGTTAAACCACGGATTTAGAAACGCACCGCTCCTATATACATCCTCTGGCATTCCACAGAATGGGTCTTCCTCTGACTCGGCTGCGACACCATCTTTTACGGTATGCACTACTTGCTGGCTGGTAGCGCGCAACCCTGGCTCGCTTCGCGTGGTGGCCATGGTGGTTACTAAGAGTTCCGAACTCGGGGCTGGTGGTTGCGATTACACAGCACACGGTTGTAAGTGCTGTGTGCTTGAACACTGACTAGGGTTTCGGGAACAGTGAATGCCCCAATACTAGCCCACTCGCAGGTCATCGCCCGTACACCCTACACCCGGCCTCGATACTGTTAGTGATGCCACTGTTTGTTTGGTCTTAACAGCGGTTGCTTAGATATTTGTGTATCAAGCCCTATCTTTGCAAGTCAATGATTGTATTAATGTCGTATTCATGGCTACACAATTCCGTGCTGCACAACGTATGACTAGGGCTAAAAGGTAACTATGAAGATGGTGCGGCCATCTGCTTGGGGTACCAGCCACTCCATTCCCTGAAATCCTCCCTAATATCCTCCCTCCATTCTGATGGGTCACCCCACAGTGTGATCGACGATGGGTGGGCAAACGCGGTTTCCACCATCACCTGCATATACTTCATCACGAACACACCACAGTCGTTGTGGTTCGTCTGTTTTGTGACCTGGTTCTCATCCCACGTCACACACGTACAGAGGCAACACATAGTACATCAGCATATATGACGCGCATCCTCTGGTCCTGGCCCACAGATCACACGTATCGAGAGCTGCTTACCTCCAGGTGGACGAGCTCGACAGAATTCTCCCATAGTTGCGCCTCCACGTCCGTGACAAGGGGCCGATACCCATGCAGCTGGGCCACCAGATAACGTCTAAGTGGTCCTGCGATGTCCGTGTGCAACGAGAGTGAGTCTGCATGAAGGATACGGGTGGGTCGCGGGATGTTATGCTCGTCGACAGGGTGGTCGTTGTCCAATATGACAAGGCTCCAGTGGCCGCTGCAAGCACGAGGGCCAAAAAAAGGTGCGGTCATCAGACTATGTGGTCGCCTACAGAACTGGAGCCGGCGACCTACACGGGTCAAAGACTCACGCGCGGTGGATCGGGACAATGACCCATTTGTATGAGAGCACGTTCTCTCCGCACGCGAAGTTTCGCAGTGGTCGCGCATTGTTGTCACGGGAAATCAGCGTGAAAAAATATGTCCCCGCGTACAGCCAGGTCTTGGCGTCTCGCTCAGTGTCGTACTGAAGCAAGCTGCAATGACAAGCAAGGTAAGGGACGCAATAAGCATTAGTCCCTACCCATGGGGATTCGGCTGTTGTGACGACGCACATCATGCGGCGATTACTCACATGCCCCACCACTCAATGATGTCGCCAGACACCCATTGCCCCGGGGACAGGGTGTCTAGCTGTTTCTGCGTCAACGTTAACCACGAACCTCCGATTGGGTATGGGATACTGTACTTGCGCATACTGTACTCCGGTTGGGCAGTGGCACCTCCCGTCCCGATTCTAGGCTTGAAATCTGTTTACTATACCGCTTACTTCACCACCAGCTCCCCCCCTCCCCTTCTCCTCAGCGTGCGCCTTCTCCAGCCCGCCTGTCAGCAGATTCTGCATGAGAACGCCAAACCCTTCCTTCAGATCAGCGTTCTCCTTCACCCCCAGCACCTGCACCAGCATGGACGCGAAGCAATCCTCCTCCGCCTGCCTGCCCGCCCCCAGCTCCGCCAGGATCGCTGGGTAGGCCACCTGCTGCGACTCTTTTCGAACCTGCCACAGAGTCACGAAGCGGGGCCATCTCGCCACAAGCACGAGGAAGGCAGCGAAGCTGACGGCACGGCGGTAGGCAGCCCAGCAGCTGCTGCAGCGCCAGCAACAGGAAAACGCTGCAGCAGCAGCAGCAGCAGCAGCAGCAGGAGCAGGAACCGCAGAGGGAGCAGGGAAAAAAGCAGCAGAAGCAGAGGAAGAAGCAGCAGAGGCAGGGGCAGTAGGGGCAGCAGCGGAGGAAGCAACAGCAGGGGCATCTGCAGCAGCGAGGATGGCAGGCAGGAGGGATCTGATCCTCCCCAGGTCCATGAGCACGCCCACACGAGGCTCAGCCATCCACTGTGTGACCATGGCTTCCGCACAAAGCAACGGCGCCATCTCACACTTGCAGCACCACTGCACGTCAGGACCCTCCTGCTGCCCCTTTCCCTGTCCCCCGAACACTGTGACCCTCGAGGAGAACTCCACAGCAGCCCTGGCTTGCAAGACACCGCCCGGCCTTGGGCCTCCTCTTGTGCTTGGACCTCCTATTGCGCTTGGGAGTCCTATTGGAAGTCCCAGCGCCAAGGGAACGGAGGGCAGCTCCACCTTGCGCAGTTCATCTCGCAGGAGGGGGAGGTTGGCGAAGTACACATCGCACTGGGCCAGGTAGCACACTGCACGCTCCAAGCACCTCTCGCACTCAGCCCCTCCCCAGGCGTCGTTGACGTCCAGATAGTGCACCATGTCCGCCCGAGAAAGCACCTGCAGCTTCTCACCTGGCTCCTCAGCTTGCCCCTTCTGAGCTTTCATTTCATAAGCCTTTTGTCTCCCTAATCCCATCCGCCCGTCAAACTTCCACCTTCTCACCATCTCCTTGCGCTTCCTCCAAATCTCATCTCGAATGGCGTGAATTCCCTTGGAGACACCGCCACTGCCACCACCACCACCAGCAATATTGGAGTGACTTTTGAGAATTCTCAAAAGTCACTCCAATATAGCCACCGCCACCACCACCAGCAGCAGCACATGTTCTGGCAGGATTCCAGGCCGTTCCCCTTCCACCAGCGCTCCCTCTTGTGCCTCTGTCTGCCTTTGGTGACTCCTCCTCCTCCTCCTCCTCCTCCTCCTCCTCCTCCTCCTCCTCCTCCTCCTCCTCCTCCTCCTCCTCCTCCTCCTCCTCCTCCTCCTCCTCCTCCTCCTCCTCCTCCTCCTCCTCCTCCTCCTCCTCCTCCTCTTCCTCTTCATCACTGCTGGATCCCACGTGGTCCCACTTGCTGTAGTCAATCCCACGTGGCTTGCTGACAGCAACAGCAGCGGGTGACGCAACCGGAGCAGCCGTGGCAGGAGGCTTGGCAGCAGCAGCAGGTGCAGCAGCGGGTGTAGCAACAAGATCAGCCGTGGCAGGAGGCTTGGCAGCTGTAGGTGCAGCGACCGGAGAAGCCATGGCAGCAGGCTTAGCAGCAGCAGCAGGTGCAGCAGCGGGTGTAGCAACAGAATCAGCCGTGGCAGGAGGCTTGGCAGCTGTAGGTGCAGCGACCGGAGAAACCATGGCAGCAGGCTTAGCAGCAGCAGCAGGTGCAGCAGCGGGTGTAGCAACAGAATCAGCCGTGGCAGGAGGCTTGGCAGCTGTAGGTGCAGCGACCGGAGAAGCCATGGCAGCAGGCTTGGCAGCAGCAGCAGGTGCAGCAGCGGGTGTAGCAACAGGATCAGCCGTGGCAGGAGGCTTGGCAGCTGTAGGTGCAGCGACCGGAGAAGCCATGGCAGCAGGCTTGGCAGCAGCAGTAGGTGCAGCAGCGGGGGTAGCAACAGGATCAGCCGTGGCAGGAGGCTTGGCAGCTGTAGGTGCAGCGACCGGAGAAGCCATGGCAGCAGGCTTGGCAGCAGCAGCAGGTGCAGCAGCGGGTGTAGCAACAGGAACAGCCGTGGCAGGAGGCTTGGCAGCTGTAGGTGCAGCGACCGGAGAAGCCATGGCAGCAGGCTTGGCAGCAGCAGGAGGTGCAGCAGCGGGTGTAGCAACAGGATCAGCCGTGGCAGGAGGCTTGGCAGCTGTAGGTGCAGCGACCGGAGAAGCCATGGCAGCAGGCTTAGCAGCAGCAGCAGGTGCAGCAGCGGGTGTAGCAACAGAATCAGCCGTGGCAGGAGGCTTGGCAGCTGTAGGTGCAGCGACCGGAGAAGCCATGGCAGCAGGCTTGGCAGCAGCAGCAGGTGCAGCAGCGGGTGTAGCAACAGGATCAGCCGTGGCAGGAGGCTTGGCAGCTGTAGGTGCAGCGACCGGAGAAGCCATGGCAGCAGGCTTGGCAGCAGCAGCAGGTGCAGCAGCGGGTGTAGCAACAGGATCAGCCGTGGCAGGAGGCTTGGCAGCTGTAGGTGCAGCGACCGGAGAAGCCATGGCAGCAGGCTTGGCAGCAGCAGCAGGTGCAGCAGCGGGTGTAGCAACAGGATCAGCCGTGGCAGGAGGCTTGGCAGCTGTAGGTGCAGCGACCGGAGAAGCCATGGCAGCAGGCTTAGCAGCAGCAGCAGGTGCAGCAGCGGGTGTAGCAACAGAATCAGCCGTGGCAGGAGGCTTGGCAGCTGTAGGTGCAGCGACCGGAGAAGCCATGGCAGCAGGCTTGGCAGCAGCGGCAGGTGCAGCAGCGGGTGTGGCAACAGGATCAGCCGTGGCAGGAGGCTTGGCAGCTGTAGGTGCAGCGACCGGAGAAGCCATGGCAGCAGGCTTGGCAGCAGCAGCAGGTGCAGCAGCGGGTGTAGCAACAGAATCAGCCGTGGCAGGAGGCTTGGCAGCTGTAGGTGCAGCGACCGGAGAAGCCATGGCAGCAGGCTTGGCAGCAGCAGGTACAGCGACTGGAGCAGCCCTGGCAGGAGGCTTGGCAGCAGCGGGAGTAGCAGGAGGAGGAGGAGCAGCAGCCGCAGCGGGAGGCAAGTTCGCAGCAGGTGCAGAGGCACGGCCAGTCACACCCTCGTCACCTCCCTCCTTGGCCTTCGCCTTCCCCTTTCCACCTCCAAGCGCAGTTCTCACGGGAAGCACTCTGATGGTAGATCCGGGTTTCAGCTTCGCTTGCTCCACAGTGGAGTGGAGAGAGAGGTACACAACCTGACCTAGAACCATGAACCGAACCTGCTGCCTCCGAACCTCCGACTTCCTTTCCTCCGCGTTCTCACCGTCTCCTGCTCCCTGATGCTGACGTGGATCGGACGGCAGGCAACAGTTGGAAAGATGGGACTGAAAGAGCCTGTTGAAGACCGATTCGAGAGACTCATTTGGAGAAACGGCGAGTCGAAGATCCATATGGCCGCATGATGATAACGCGACAGGTGGCTTGTTCTCGGAATGGCTGCCGGCGAAGCTGCTGGCGACGTTGCCACTGCTGGCGCAAGCATCTTCGCTTCCAGGTTCGCTTAATTCGCGTCGAAGTAGACCCGCTGGGACCCTGAATTGGATATTAAAAGCCATGGGATTATGTTCCAACGGAATCACGGTGTTTTAACTTAGGGTTTGCTGTATGGGTGACGGCTTCAGGAACGAAGGAAGCCTTCCAAGAGTGATAACGGTTCTGTTATCATTATATAATGCCTCGGGCAGTCAGCTTCGGAAGGGAATTCACGTATAGCGAACTTCCGAGGCGGATCGCGTGCGCTACTAAGCTAATAGCCATAACGAAGGTATACTGGTCCAGATAGTGGCCGCATTAGTACCGATCTGCAAGTTCATCGCGCCATGCATACCCTTCCCCGGCAGATCTGTAGCAAGCTCAGCAAATTCGTCGTTTAGACCAAGAAGTCGCCATGGGAGGACCTTCGTGCAGACTTTGATAGCGACATCGAGGGCTATCTTGACTCTTGAGGTTTTGGCTGGGTTTTAGAAACCAGAGAAGCGAGCAGGATGGTTTTACGAGCAGGACGAAAATGGCGAGAAGGGTTTGCGACAGTCTTGGCGATTTAGCTTTGGTGGTGTCCACAAAGAAATGAGAAGTGCCTTCTTCATTGTAATAGATGTGCAGTAACGAGAGAATCTGGAACGTTGTTTCCGGTTACATGTGCTTCGCGAAAGGACCGCATTTTGAATGAGTTTCGCGCATCCATAACAAATTTCACGCCTGCATTCCCTCGCTCACCTCCATCCCTGTCACGCCTCTTCCCCTTGTGACTCATGCCAATCTCCTCTTGGGGAGTGGAGACCAAAGCTAACGCTAGTGCTGGTGTGAGCAAGCAGTCTCCTCCAGCCTCAGCTCATAGCCCCAGCTGTCGCCATGCTCCCGCATGCACACGCCGGTCCTGACCCCTCTCGCATCTCATCCCGCACATTATATGAAATGATCGTCGCTGTGTGGTCCTTCCTGATCGCCGAACTCGCGACCGGATCGGTAGATCTACGATCACAGCCTCACGATGCCGCGACATGATGCTATCCGGCACAGGCACGCACCGCAGCAATCTTACAACCATAAGAGTGCTTCGTTGCGCTTGTGAAAGCGAACGCTTGGCGTGAACGGCCTGGGTGGGTGCAATGCCAAAATAGTGATGATGGCTGAGTATCGAGAGCGACTAGCTATGGCGGAGCGACCACGAAGATGTGCACTGGGGGATGATAAGATAGAAAGCGCAAGTAAGAGAGGGGTGTCGAAAATGCAGTCACCCTGCAGAGGCTTGTTGTTCCCCACGGCGGAGGCATCTTTGTAGAAGCGAAAGTTGGGTTGGGTCCAGCTGCAGAGGACCCCGCCGAAAAGAAGGGCTGTCTGCAGAAAGCTTTTCTGCAGAGGAGCGACATTCTCGACAGACGAACCTCGGTGCAGAGAACGCAAATATTTTCCCCTTGAGAGAATTTCAGAAAATTTTCGGACATCGAAAATTTGACCCCCTCAGGTTCTGGCACGGCTTTTCGAGCTTTTCTGTGCCGAAGCAAAGGTTGTAGGTCAGGCACGCCAGGCTCGACTTTCCGAGGTGTGATTGCGGTAGAAGAGGGAGACCGTTCAGGAGGTCTGGTTGATTTTTGTTCGAAAACGGTTTCCATCGTAGGAAGCCCCGAACATGACGGGGATGAGGCTCGGTCGAGTTGACGAAGCCAAAGGTGACTCGTACCGCTTCCGAAGCTTTCGTTCGGTTCCGCCTTTCCCCAACCTCGTCACACGAGGTTTTCGCCTGGCTAGGTGTGCTCGTGTAGAAAGGCTCGGCTTGATTCGTTGTAGAGAACGAGGCTTCTGAATCACGTTCACTGTTCGATAATCATCACAGCTTCTGTTAGGCCCGCTGGCCTAAGTCCGCTAAAGAATTAGCGGGGTCGACTAAGTCGAGGATGAAGCGCGGCGGAAGACTTTGGCGAAAGAACTACTAGCGAAATAGGCGAAGGAGTTACTGAGTAATTGAAGAAGAGTTGAATGAGAATTGGTTGATAATGCCAAGTACAAGCAAGGTTTATATAGCATGCAAGAAACAAGGTTGGAAAGTGGATTGTGGGACCAAGAATTGTAGTGCAAGAAAAGTAGAGTGCCACGTGGCACTAGAGAATCTGAGAAGATAAGGATAAGGGTGACTTGGAAAGTACTGTTCGGAATGAACAGTAAACACCCCTCTAACACTACCCCCCTCCCAAGGAGGCGACGTCCGCGGCGCCTGCAGACTGAAGGTACGCTCGGAGGCAAGCGTTGTCGGGAGACAGCGAGGACGAAGGAACCCAGCTGTCGTCGGCTGCATCGTAACCACGCCAACGAACCAAGAAGTCGATGAAAGAGACACCCCCCTGGAGACGGCGACGGTGCCTGAGGATGCGCTGGATCTGGTAGTCGGGCTCGTCGGTGTCAACAGCTACCGGCAGT